AGGGCAGGGCAGGGCAGGGCAGGGCAGGGCAGGGCAGGGCAGCCGGGGCTCCCTTGCCTTCAGGCGCTACCTGAGTCTCGGAGAGATTGAGCTGGCGGGCGAGCTCGGTGCGCTCCCGCCCCACGACGTACTGGCAGCGCTGAAACTCCATCTCCAGGCGGTAGAGCTGCTCGGCCGTGAAGGAGGTGCGGGTCCGCTTGGGACGGTCCAGATCAAGCCCCTTAGGCAGAATAATCTCTCGGATTGAACCTTTGGCATCTGGCAAAGAGAGGCGCAGTCAGCTTCATACCCGGGCAACCCTCCTCTGTTTTTTTTCCCCTCTTTTTATACTTCCTAATTTTTGCAAAGGAAAGAGCCGTTCCCAGCGCCTTCAGGACCGAGACACGAGTCGGGATGGAGCAGGGTCCCCGCGACTGTGGCACTGCACCTGGCCACTACACCCAAGGAAGGAAAAAAAACCCACAACAGAGAAGGAAGGAGGGGGCGATGGGGGCCCCGGGCTCTATAATTAATCCCCTCAGCCCATTTAAAAATTACTTTGAATATATTGCACTCACATTACGACACTGCGGCATCACCCACGGCCCCTTTAGTAAGCTGGGGAGAGAGATCCTCCAGGCCAGGCTTTGTGCCTGAAGTGCAGGGCTACTCTTTGTTCCCCTTGAGCTCCGGGTTAGGGCTTGATGGTAGCCACCATACACAGCCCGTCGCCCCCCAAAATATAAACCCTTATAATTTTTCTTTTTAATGACAAGTTTCTTATGCTTACAAAAAAAAGACAATTAAAAAGTAATAATTAAAAAAACCCTTCGTCATTCCTCCATTTCTTTTCAGGCTGGTGGTTGTTTTAAAACAGCCCCTTTTCCTCTGGGCTGCCGGGGGCACGGAGAGAGAGGGGACGGAGGGAACATGTGTCCTCCGAGAGGGCCGCCTGGCCGCGGGAGGGATGGAAAGCAAGGCACCAACCAGCCCGCAGAAACCTCACTTTTCTGGTAGCCCCGACTGAAGGAAAGCGGGACAAATCTCATTAACACGACTGTCAAGCTAGAGCCAGATTCAGGTTACCTTAAAGCCTTCCCAACTTTGCTTGCCGTAATTTTACCTCCTTGGTACGTTTTAAATCAGAGACAATCACATCATTTTAATCTGACCCTTCTCTGGATCAACCAGTGGAGCAAAGATTAATTCTGGCTTCCAGGGCCTGCTTCCCATATATTTTGTTCCGATTCTCTTCTCTCCCTCCTCCCCCCAAAAAAGCACCTTAATAAAACTGAAATTTCTTCAGGTAATTTTTTTTTTTTTTGAGGGGGTACGAATAAGATGATTTAGCTATTTTAGCCTGGAGAAGAGACGAAGATTGAGGGAAATTAAACGTAGGACAATTAAAAAGTAATAATTAAAAAAACCCTTCGTCATTCCTCCATTTCTTTTCAGGCTGGTGGTTGTTTTAAAACAGCCCCTTTTCCTCTGGGCT